GGGGGTGGGGGGGACCGGGGGCCCGGGCTCCGTTGTGCGCCCCGACCGTCGGGCCTCTGGAAAGATCCCGTATCCCCGCGGGCTGAGCTGGAGGCGGCTCCCCCAGTCCCGGCCAGAGAAATAAGAGCAGTTGACAAACGTTTCACACATCCTCCCCCATCTTACTTCCCAGCGTCGCCACGGTTTCAGGCGCTGGGCCGGACAAGTTCGGCCTTGGGCAGAAGCGCTGCCCCCATCCGCCCCAGGACACTGGAGACCACTGCGCGTCTCCAGCAGATGCGACCCCAGCATCTAGCGTGACCCCGAGATCCTAGCGTGTCCCAGGGCCATGTGGCTGCGCACTGGTTTCGGGTGCCCCCACCTGCCTGGTGGGGAAGGCGCCTTGTACTAGGAGCTGGTGCTGGATGGAGACTGGTCCCCAAGGCTGGTCGCCGTTCACAAGCGCCCAAGGCCAGGCGAGGCCGGAAACAGGCCTCGGGCTAAGCCAGGAGGCGGGGAAGCCTCAGTTGTGACCCACGGGCAGTCACCAAGAGATGAGGACTCCTTTTTCCAGCACCTGCCCACAGGGGCTTGGGTGAGGCGCCAGTCCTGGGACGGGATAGGGCCTTGGGGCCACATGGTGGGGGAGGGGAACGAGAGGTGACTAGGGCTTTGTCCCCCAAAATACAAGCTACAAAGCCCTTGTCATACATTTCAAACAGCTTGTAGGAAAGAAAAGCAAACCATTATCTGTCACGGCCTGTGGATCCAGGAAAACAACCTTGAGTGGAAGAGTTCCCTTATTTCCAGGCACCTCCCTCCTCAGAGAATTCCAGGAAGGCACCCACAGTGTCTCAGGGAACAGGAAGCCTGGATGGGGAATGGTCCCGGTGCAGACTGACCAGGGCTCTGGCCTCAACATTGCTGAGGAGCTCACTGTGGAACATTCTCAGCTGTCAGGGGAGCAGTGTCTGACCCAACTACTCCTCCCTCCTTACACCTCTCAGAGCTGGAAGAATTCCAGCCCCTACAACCCAGGCTGGGGGGTGGGGAGGCACAGGCAGGGGCAAGTGGTTTGGAGGGAGCAAATATCCAGAGGAGCCATCTGGTGAAAAATGATCTTCCACTCTGAGAAAGGAAAATAAAGTAAATCAACAGTAAGGTATTATATTTCACTGATCACATTATCTACCATTTGTAAATGGAAATATTGGCAAGACTGTGGTGTATATTTGTGTATATTTTACTGGCAATGAGTGTAAGTTGGTACATCCTGTCAGAAAGAGCAGTTTGGTGTTATTAACATCCTCACAAACAAACAAAAACACTCTTGAAAGCAGTAATGTTCCAAGTATCTATTCTAGGCAAGTAATCCCAATGCAGACAATAGTGTACCCACAAAAGTGTTTATCACCTTACTTGTGTAATCTAAACAGTCCTACCTAGGATCTCCAGCCTTCTGAAAAGGAGCTCAGAGGGAGCTCTCTGCCCTCAAAGATACTTCTTAAATAACTGTTCCATCCTTTCCGGACCACTTGAGCTTTCAAGACTTAAATAATATACTGGAGTCCAGGATCAGCTAAAGGACATTACTTACTCTAATAGTAGATAGATAGACAGATAGATAGATAGATAGATAGATAGGATAACAGCCACCCACAAACAGGAAGAGAAACAGCCTAAAATATGTTTGCTTTCTCTCTCTCTGGCAATCTTGGCAGCTGTTCTTGGCTGGGGGTCGTCCCACACCTAAGACAGGAAGATGGTGGCAGCAAAGATGAAAAAGTTGCCAGAGTCCATCAACTCTAGGCTCCTAATCACTATGAAAAGTGGAAAGTACGGCTGAGGTACAAGCCAACTCCGAAAATGATCAGACAAGGCAGAGCAAAACCAGTCATCCTCCACTGAAATGGAAAACTGGTGTCCATCACTACAGTGGCAATAATATTGAATTGGGCAAAACGGATAGAAAATACTAGAGAGTTCGCATACTGGCTATCATTGATCTAGGTGATTCTGATATAGTTAGAAGCATGCCGAAACAGACTGGTGAAAAGCATGCAAAATTATTCTTTAATAAAATTGGCCAGAACTCGTTTAAATAAACAAATAAAATAT